AACAATACCTATATGGGATAAATGAAAAACTGTATAATCATTATTATTATTATTATTATTATTATTATTATTATTATTATTACTAGTTAGTGAAAACCTAAATATATTACGTCATGATCAAAAACAAAGTGGAAAGCGCATGTCAAGTCGAAAATCTTTGGATGGTTAGTGAGAAAAATTCTATTAAATGATAGTCCAGTRTCAAACGTCAAACTGTAGAGTAGAATATCTTGATTTAGCGATGGTTTTGCTTGTTTAATTTTTTCTAACAGACTGTCGAAAACCCTGCAAAAGTCTTTACGAGACAAAAGCCAAAAAAGCACATAGAAAGAARGTCAGAACGTACTCTTTTGTAATCGATAAAAAGTCGATTGTTAACCGATATACGATGAATTTAAGTTGAAATTTCGGTTTCGAACACGACGTGATACCGAAATTCGAGGCGAATATACGAACATGCGCAGTGCGCTTTTAACCAGTGTCGTCTCGTTCTCGGTATATCTCGATCACAAAACACTCAACGATGTTAAAAATTCGAATTCGAATTCGGGATAAAAATTCAAACTCGAAGAATACATTGCTCGAGTGCTTTTTCAGATCAAATAGAYAAGCCAATAAATTATATTAAAAGCGATGAATAAGCCAGGGAATAACATGTGAGATATCCTGTCAATTTTGTTAAACTTAGTCATAATAAAAAACTTTCGCTTGGATGTTCCTCTACATTTGAGCCTGGCTAAGGACTGCACCTTCATCAAGCGTCCCTGGGACCGTCTTTCACGTAGTTGACCATTATCAGTCAATTCTATATCGTCCGACATTTCTCTGATATCTTCATCATCTGGCAGCTGTAAAGAGATTAAATACTGTCAGAGACATACGCGCAATTCAATATATATTCAGGGCGGCGCTTTCCATTAAGTCAATCAAGTCGGTAAGTTCAGTTATATAGAACTAGTTGAATAAGTTATAAAATCTAATAAGAACTGACGCGGCGTACCATTTGAGAACTGGCTGCACGGACCAGTTGATTCGACTTAATGAAAAGCGTCCTTAGCATTCAGAGTGCTTTACAGCTGTTTATTAGCCATTGCGTGGTCAAGGGAAAACTGGGTCGATTTGGCATTGCCGTGCCGCATTATCTTCCCAAGATGACGTCTATTTTGTCCCATAAATAGTCCCACAATAATGCACGGCAATACCAACTCGACCCAAGTGTCTGCTCAACCTCTAAATGAATGCAGAACTCATATCAAACATTGAGTGTCGTACGTATTTCCCTGTCTCTGTTGTCTGCGAGGCAGACCCACGAGTTAGCATCGTCCCCGTATCCTTCCTCGATTTTSCAAAGTTTTATTAGCAAAATAGAGAAGAGCGGATTTTGAAAAAACCCATTAAACGGCCTCAAATCGCGCTGAAACTTCGCCAGAAGACTGAACAAAGTAAAAGCAACAACTGCAGCAAGTTTTGAGGCAAATTGTTGAGTGAAACATTTTAYTTTYGTAACTTTATCATAACTCCCATGCATTTCCTCATAAACCATACACAGSAACCTTGTTTGGGCTGCCTGTGCACTAACATTTAGAGTAAAGCTTGATATATCAGCTTATGAATCTTGTTATCGCCGGTGGCATGTTTATAGAGACTAAAAGAACATTATTCTAAGGATCACTGAATCTAGCCTTCTAAAATGACCTACCGAGATTGTTTCGTTCCTTTGCTGAAGAGGTGCGCCCCATTCCTCCTCGTCTTTAGCATCTTGTTTATCTTGGTGCACAACAGCTCTGAAAACGGCCATTGATTCTACGAATGAAAGGACCATTGTCAAGAAGCAAGCGATCACATACCAGTCAATGGCCTTCATGTATGACACCTTGGGCATCTTGTTATTCATAGCACCCTGTGGAAATAAGAAATGGCTTGAATGAATGTCTGTAACAGTACTAAGCAAGCGAGATTTGTTCACCCACCCCAGACTCACACCACTCGCCCAATGGTTAAAGCAGTACAATTGAATGTCTGTCAGGATTGCATCGAAACGCCGGTTATCCCTGTTAGTTTTAAGTTTGCAGCAGATTTGAATGRATTTGAATGTCTCTCCTATTTATCATCGACATACCGAAAGGAAAACTAAAGTAAGAACAGACGTAATACCAACAGCAAGTCTATCCCCAGTCTCTCTCGGATCCATCCAGAAAGGCATCCAAGAGAGGAAGACCAAGAATACGCATGGTAAGTAGATCTGTATGATGTAAAAACCCAGGCGACGTTGAAAGGTAATGTGCACTTCAAGGCTGTTAAACTTGCCTGAAAACAGTAAAGAATGGTGCGCAATAATATTATTAAGATAATAATTATCGTTATTGGAGGGTCCTCCAGAAGGGGGAGGAATGATTAATCCCATTTCCTACCCAAATAGTTTCCAAGTCACAACTTCAAGCTTCCATATCCCAAAAGTACTTTTACCCATTTTCCTATTCGTTTTTCCCCATTTCCAGTTCCTTAAATTCTATTTGCCCAGGGCAAAGTAGGGGAATACCAGTTTCAATTTTACCTCTTCGGGACCCCCCTCTGGTGATTTTTGCTTACAGCTTACAGCTTAACTACATAATTATGGACTACAGACTAAAATAGATTAAAAAATGAAAAAATAAAATTTTWAAAAAATGAATTGCATTTTTAGAAAATCAGAATATCAAGATGGTATCTGTTGTCAAACCTGACTTGTAGACATTATTTAACTCTTTGGTATACAAAGATACAATGTCAAAGTGAGGCAGATTCATGTCCTTAGAGATGGCCACAGGTTGTTCACTTTTTTCCCATTTTAAAATTATCTCAGCTGCAGTATGGAAAACTAGAAGATAGAAACAAAAACATGCTGCTTGAACCTCCTATGAATCTACAACAGTARTGGCTTGGCCGGCTTTCATATGTCCTTTGGGTTGCTTGCGAGACMTGAGCACGTCATTCATGATGTGATTATGACGCCGAATGATTAACTCAGGTTTGGAATCGTATAATGATGCTTACAGGTTTGATTAAATCTAATGTACTGTTTGGTGTGCTTTAAGAAGTTGTATACTCGAGAGATAGCGACTATACAGCTGACAGCTTACTTACAGCTCTCAAACATCAATACGCAGACTTGTGTGTCCATTGGGAATTTTCTCAGGTCCATTTGACATTCAGCTTGGACAGTTATCCTAGTGCATTAGAAAGAAGTCATTATACTATYATTCTGGATTCTTCCGTTCATTAATTTGGTTAGTTACAAAAGTGAAGGATGCCTCATACATGGAAAATGAGGACCCAAGAGCAGCGGAAGATATGGATCTTGTTATATCCTATATGCACCCTATCAAGAAATCGCAAGTTTTTTGGCAACTTCTTCAAGAGTATCAAAAAGTACATTTTTTTCAATAAAAGACGATGGATAATAACTTGTGTGATAAACAGTATATATCTATTATCATATCGAAAACATGTTCTTTGCCTTTTAAACCTCAGTTAAAGGGACATTTCTCTTGCATTTTCAAGTTATTATCCGCCATTTTTTATTTTCCTGCTCATGAGTCTCAATTTGATTGGCTAACCGTTTTTCTCCGATTACCTGGCATTATCGTATCCTACCACGGTATGAGACCGAAGACTGTAGGCTTTGCTTATGCAGCTTTTCTGCAATCAAACTATTAACAAAACTAAACCATGTAGGTATGCTTAGTATGGCAGTRCGAGACTTACTTTTGACTCATATAGACTGACCCGTCAGCAAACACACGAACGCCAAGGTTCTTCTTAGTGACGTCATGGATAAATGCTGAGCGGGCGTTCATGAAGAAAGTATCGGGATACCATATTTGGTCAGCGTTCTCCAGTTGCATATAAGGATGGCCTTTGCCGTGTGTTAAGCGAATAGGAAATGACAGACGAGGATCCTTCCACATCTGACGAAACGCGAATCTCATGGTGTAATCCTGGACAAGAGATGACAAGGGGAATAATTATTTAAACAAAAAGTCATGCTTGATCAATTCAGAACGAGACATTAATGGTACGTGTACTAACCATTTCTTCTTCATGCACATCGTATACGGAATTAATGCGCATATTGACTGTGATATTAACAGGTCTACCTAGTAAAAGATATTACTGAAGTTAATGGACTAMTTCAAAGATATAGCGGYCATCTCGGATCGCAAGGCATTATGGGGCGCACGGGGGTTAAATATAGCTTTATTACAGTAATGACGTCGATTGATATTTACAGCTCACCACAAAGAATACAAACAATTATAAATGAATCAAGACGGGCAAATGGATAACCTACACCGATAAAAGAAAGACAGAAACTCTATATATTTTCCGTCATGTTTGTTTTGTTTTGCCCCCTGGCAAGATAGCCGCCGTWTCGTCCAAGTAGTCCATCAAAAACTGGCTATTTTTGGCTATTTCAAACAAGTCATTGGGGTATTAGGTCAGCGGCAGGGGTCAAACGATTTTCAAGAGAGAGAAAAGAAAGTTAATTCCGAAACGAAACTACGTGTATTGTGGGTCATTAGTTTGATCACTGAAACGTTCGTTGTCGTTTGTTGTCTATTGTTGGCAAAGGCTTCCTCTACCGCCTATGACCAGACGCTTCCTCTTACTCATTGGAAACACCTTTCCTAAACGTTATCATGCCTAAAAATATTATCTCTTTCTTTGAATTGACCCCTTACCATCTTGTGCATAAGGACGCACACTTTTGTCATACTTTCTCAGATTTACTTTCAAAGCTTCCTTCATGGATGTAATATTCTTGAATGGATTCGATGAATRATTTTGTCTAATAAAAAAAGAGTCAAAAATAGTATTATTAGAAAGCGTCGAGTAAAATCATTATTACATGTCGCTTGACGATCTGACGATCCGACTGGAACTGTTTGCCCCCTGCCTATGTCTATTGAAATCCTACTATTTGTCCCTRCGTCCTACGCTATAAACACACACAGTTGGATTTTGGACGACTTCAATTAAAAGTAAGTTTAGATTGACTAAATTGATGTTGTTGTTAGGACTGCCTATAGAGTCATAATGAAAGTTATTTTGAGTTATTATTCATTGTTGCTATACATATGTCTATTACTGACCATCATTTTATAATAARAAATTCATTCCTAAGAAAATCTGTTCTTATTCCAGGTGAATTGGTAACAAATCGTTTTATATTCGTCAGAATATGTATATCATGTARAATAGTTTTCGTTGCTATTAATAGGAGATGAAATTATGATTATTCATCGTGTAACAGCAAAAGTAAGCGAATTCGGAAAGACATTCCAATCCCTGATCGGGACTCGGATTTTTTCTCCTTCGTTTTCTTTTTTTTTCTTTTCTTTTTTTAATTGTATATAAGAAATATTTTCTTTTTTTTTTTTTTTCTTTTTTTAATTGTATATAAGAAATACCACCACAAATGACAAACATGTGAAAATAATGATATTTTTAAAATGACAAATAAATAGATAATAAGAAAGAACGTTATTTATTTTAGTAACAGCAAAATTGACAAAACTAAAAGATAAAAGTAAAAAGTAAAATAAAAAGAAAGATAATAACGATCAAAAATATTATAAAAATGGAAAGGAAGCATGACAAAATTTGATAGGAAAGATGGCATATTATTGAAAAGTTTAAGCCATAAGTTAATAAAGATCGCGTGCTAAGTCAGAGAACGACACAATCAGATCACTACCGTAAGTTTAATTACAGCAGTCGCACTTTCCGTTTTCGCTTCTCTCTATTGATTTTATTTGCAATTCARAGCAATGAAATAAGACTTCAAGTAATAATAACTTGGCTATTCAATGTATAAAAGATGTTGAATACTTACCCTAAAGTGGTAGTAATAAGATTGGCATGCAGAAAGTAAATACAGCATCCCAGTAAAAGTCTACAGTTTGTAGTCGTGAAGGTAGCTCTCTTCCACATGTTCCAAACAATGTTCACTAACTTTCTAACTTCACTCAGTACAATACTCGTCTTGTTGCAAAATCTATTCGACTGAAACCAGCGGCTCGATAAGAATTATTTGAGTTAGCGATAAATGGGTTGATAGCATCATAGTCGAAAAGTCAACTTTGCACAGCTAGCGGCGCTGAAAAGGAAAAGCCAACATCACGTGACATTCTCACAAAATTGTGATTGGTTAAACAATATAATTGCTTTTAAAAACTGATTTTTAGTTTTGGTTTTAAGAATACCGCTCAAAAATACGTTAGAATCGATGCTCAAATAATGCCATCTACCTTCACTTTTTTCCCCAAAATAATCCTAATAACATAAAAAAATGAGGCTCTATACTTTGATCCCATTGTAATGCATGACGGCAACACAGTTTCTTATTGACATAATGAGATTGATGTGAGTTCCTTGAATGGTGTACCATTATTGTCATGATAATGCATATCCTTCATTTAATCTTCCATGTTTATCTTTATCCAGCTGGGCCCGATGATATGTGGCTCTCACCTACACAAAACATAATCATTGGGACATGCTTATTCTATTCCATTTCATATCATTTCCTTCAATTCATTAACTCGGACGATGCATGCAATTAGCATTATGCAATGCTTTAGAGCAAAGCAGACCCCATTATTGAGATGCCAGAATTCCTAAAAAATTCGATATCACTGGTTTGGTAAATATGGTAAATACAAGGCATTTTTTTTCAAGGCCCGAAGCCGTTAGGAAAAATRGTCATTTCTATAGGATTTAAATGAGGTATATCACTCCTCACTTTTGTGCGCCGCCAAGCTAGAATTTCTAGTTTCATTAAGACATATTTTATAAATAGAAATAAGTTTATATGTTATACATGTGTTAATGAATTCATAAAATCCCTTTATTTATTCCTATAACGTTCATCAAATCCACCTCAGGTATATTATTATAACTACACGCTCTTCCAATAACAGTGGCTGTTCTATCAATCTGCATAATTAGCGCCAAGTTTTTGCTGCAAAAGACCAAAGGTAATCCCCATCCCTTGGGGGAGGGGGAGGAGTGGGTTAGTKACGCACAAGAAGCTCGCGGGTTGATACTTTGGATGCTCGTCAAACCAGTACATTCTTTTTCAACAATAACAACACAAATTACACCGTTAATACCAATTTCAGTTGCTCTTTTCGAATTCGGCATTTAACTTCTAAAATCCAAAATTATGGAAATTCCGGATCTGGATCTGGCGTTCCATGCATTAAATGATTTTGTCGCCTTTGGAGCTTGTTCTACTCTCGTTTATGTTTCTGGTTCAGGCTCTGGTCCCTCTTTAGGAACTCCTAGCTTCTACCGSTGTCTTCTCTACTTTCTTTTGAGGCGGCTCAGGAGGAATGACGCTAAGTATTCCATCCTTTCTGAAAAGAACATTGACATTTGACTTGAAGGTTCATCTGAAGGTTACTGATTCTAGGATCTCTTGTGGCGTCTCTTGAATCTCCTTCTCCTAGCAGGGGTCTCGGGGGTAGATTAACCCCCCCACCCCCATTTAAGTAAAGTTTTTTTTTTCAAACTTGACAAAACGTATATTTGCGAAGTTTTCCGGCCCACCCTTACTTTGATTCCTAGATTTGCCTCTGGATAACAACTACCTCTTTCTATCGAAATTAAAGGAAAGGAGAAGAACGAGAGAATTAAAGAAGGGRAAGTAAAAATGAAATTGTTAAAGAAAGATATCAATAAGTAAATAAAGAAAGTAAAATTGAGCCTGTAAGTTGAGGAATTAAGGAGCAAACGGTAAGGGAGAAAAGAAGGAAAATACGTAAATAATATCCGGACATAATGTTTTACAAAGACTCAAAAAAGTTGAAATGCGATAATGAAAACAACAACGACAACAACAACAACAACAAAAAAAAAACCGCCAGAAACAAAATAGGGAAGAAGGGAAAAAAATCCAAAACAAAGTTATAAGATTCAGGTCACCCATCCAAGTACTAATCTCACTCAACCGTGCTTGACTCAGTGTCTTGTTAGCCCAAGTTTTTTCCACTGGGCCACGATTTCAGGAAATTAGCACAACAATAGCCATGAAAACAAAGAAGCAGATAGACTAGATTATTTTCCACTTCAAATCACCGTGCCAGTGCGTGGCAGAGTGCAAGGGATTAGCTGTAGATATGGTCTGGGGGCCGGCTAGTCTCTCCCCTGATGCTTCGGCTAGAACRCTATACTGCGTAATCCGTACACCCAAGGGCAGAGGGACTTAATCGCCGTCATGTCCGAAGTCCATACGATGACCCAGCGGATGTCTAGGGGTATGGCATGAAGGCACTATTATTTTCCTTCTGAATCTTGGAATTAATTATCTAATTAAAGTTGGTGGACGTGGGTTCGATTCCCATGCACCGTATTAGGAGTATGACTTTTATTTTTTTCTTCTTTTTCGCTTCCTCTAGTCTCAGATCTTTTTTTATATTTATTTACTTATTATTTTTATCGACTTTTATTAATTCGAGAAAATGACGATTCCTTTTTTTWATAGAAAAGTTGTCTAATATTTTGCTAACATTCTAAGTAAAATTATTACGTGCCACCTACAAGAGGTGGCCCGCGTCTCGTGGGCCCCACACGCATCTGGTAGCCCCTTGGCCATAACTCCGGAGCGAAGCATGCTATGGTAACGAAACTTGATATGGCATTGGTGAGACTTGTGTTGTCAATCATCTGACCACGTGACATGTGTTACGTCACATATCACGTGTCTTACGATACGAACATTATCGCCGATTTTAGCGAATACTCATTACAATGAATGCTATGGTAACGTAACTTGGTACGATGGGTGAGGCATGTGTTGTCAGTCATCTGACCACGTGCCATGGCGTGACGTTAAAAAAACAAAACGTTATCGCCGATATTCGGCAATAGTCATTACAATGAATGYTATGGTAACGAAACTTGGYACGATGGGTGAACCTTGTGATGTGAGTCATCTGACCACGTGATATGACGTGATGTCACATATCACGTGTCTTAACGACCAATAATCATTTAGAATTAGTACTGAAAGTATTTTCATGTGCACTTTCAGCATTCTCCATCTGAAAAAGTCGAGATGCGCTTTCCTGGTATAAAGCTGTCTGAGAGCAGCTGACCATGAGCTGACTGAAAAGAGCTTTTACTAAACTTGGATTCTCAGTATTATATTCTCYACACTCAATTGATTTCGTCGTCATTACAGCGTCATGTTAAAACGGAGCACCATACTTAACAACTTGACAACTCATCGAGTTGATTTTTCATGGTTTGAATAGAGACCCATTGCATTAATTTCCTAGAGGAATTGCCTGTGGGGGACAAAACAATAGGCCGTCTTTTCTTATGAAAAAGAAAACATCGTTTCTGTTCCCCAGAACAATATGACTTAAATCAATTTTTTATTAGTATAAAGCTAATAAATAATCACACAAGGTGTACATATGCTACATAAATATCACAGATATTATTCTMATACAAGAAAACCTGCTTTATTTATTTATTTTTTATTTTTACACGGTAGCCGCTAAATCAATGTTTGACATGCATGCTGTTTGCTGCATGCATCTGATCAATTAGTTCAGTGTTCAGTTCTCAAGCATTAGCAAAACATCTGCAAGCATTATAAATACAATATAAGTTAGAGATATAAAGTATGTTTCAACAAGCTATTTTTTACCGGGAAAAACATCCCGAGCTCCACCATAAGTTACATCTTACCAGTAAATAGAAAGTTACGGATTCAAATCCCGTCTCATGGAGTTTGTACTGATTTGTTTTCCAAGAAAAAAATACTTGATGCTGGGGACATAATTTATTCTGTAATAATAAGTAGATTACTGCAAAGATGCTTGTGCAAAAAACATGCAATTACAAAATACGATTCGAAATTTAATAAAAAGAAAATTATAAAATACTTTTTTGCAAAGTGTTTTTGTATTAAAGATTGGAAGGCTGGAAAAGTCGAACATTTTAGATCACATTTATTGTTATTACTTAACAGCAACAATCTGCATCATTTAATCTTTTCTTCTCATGAATTGATGGTTTGCATGCAAYCCCGAAAATGTCAAAAGCAAGACGGCCAATTTGGTGCGAAAAAAAATCTTTTGCGAGTAGTAGCAAGGGGTACTAATTAATGAGAAATATTTCATGGCTTCAACATGGCCGCGATGACGTAACGTGTAATTGAAGAAAACGTTCAACACATTTCTGTTGAGTCGCCAGTGTTCATGTTCAATATTCTTKTTCTCTGCTTCAACGAAATATTCCGAGATAAAAATCTTGACCCAAACGACATTTTCCAGCTTCGTTCTCCAGGAAGTCATTATATAGAAATAAATGAAAACAAAGGTATAATTTTTCATGACTTCCGCGAGCACATCGTAAAGCAATGCACAGTTGCATTCGTGGAAAGCATGCGCACTAGCCGATAATTGTACTCATGTCATGTACAAAAGCCAATAGAACAAATTAAAGGCAATGAACAAGCCAGGAAACATCATATGAGACACACTGTCGATTTTGTTGTATTTAGCTGCTTTAAGAGACTTTGGCTTGGATGTTCCTCCGCAGCTCATCCTGGTTAACGACTGCATCTTAATGATACGTCCCTGTGAACGTCTTTCACGTAGGTGACCATTATCAGTCAGTTCTATATCGTCCGATATTCCTCGCATGTCGTCGTCTTCTTGCTGTAAATATTGAAAACGTGTAAAGAAATCAGTAATGGCTCTCTACGACGTCACAAGGCTGCTTGGCATTGTTATAAATAAACTTTATGTTGTTTGAACCGCATGCAGCTACTCTAGTGTTCGTCTTTAATTTTGTTTGTTGGCTAATGGTTGAATGGACTTTTGCGTCATGACCGCTAAGCGAGGGATAATAGTTATAAGTCCCCGAAAACGATGGAGGTTTAATGGAAGTATATAGATGGAGAGACTTTTMCTAACTCTCTCGAGGCCGCACGAGGACATTTAACCATATTATTTTTCMCATATGGCTCAGTTTTCATTGAATTTTTCATCCATGTCCAATACTCACGACCTGAGTCAACTCGTGACGTCCATAGTCAAAGACTTGCCAAATTGAGTCAGGTTGATCAACTAGGCAAATGCTTAGCCAAGTCTTTTTTTCCAAATGTCAAGTCCTTAATAATTGATAGCTGTTATCAACAATGCGTCGTTCTTTTTCTTTTTCTAAGTTGTTGAGAGCTATACCATGGAGCTGAAGATAAAATCTACATTGGGGCCATAATAGTTGGGCAACCGTTTATGATCCCGAATAACTTTTATCAACATTGCGTCGTTCTATAAAGTTCGCGGAAAATTGAACATCTCTTGAATATACGCATAGCTATAATTTTATCGTTCTTATGTAAAGTTCAGAAACGAGTTATCAAGACCGCTTGAACTTTRACCCTTGATTAACTTTTCAGTATTGTCATATAGTTAGGATCGCTGATTGGTCGAAAACTGTGCTCCATTAGTGAACGGAACGGACTATTTCTCATCCTCGGACATTATCAGCCGATATTCCATGGCCAGTGAGCCAGAAGGGGTATATTTACTAAATATTCTCCTGCATATCAAATTAGCAGGGGTTTGCGCATTCTACAAGTAGATTAAGGAATTCTTTTTATGATTCAATTATTGGACTTTGCTTATGAAGATGTTACTATAAATACCCACCAATACATCGTTCTTTCGCTTTACTGGTTCGCCCCATTCCTCTTTGTCTTTAGCATCTTTTTTATCTTCATGCACAACAGCTCTGAAGACGACCATTGATTCTACGAATGAAAGGACCATTGCCAAGAAGCAAGCGATCACATACCAGTCAATGGCCTTCATGTATGACACCTTRGGCATCTTGTTATTCATAGCACCCTGTGTGGAAATCATGACTAGCAATATTAATACTATACGGAGGGGATTATAGAGTATATTATATATAGTGGAATAACAAAAGACTTATAATGAGCTAGTTTTCTTTATTGTGAGAGTAGCACTGTGCTCGACTTACTGAGAGAAATACTAATGTAAGGACAGCGGTAATACCAACAGCAAGTCTATCTCCAGTCTCACTCGGATCCATCCAGAAAGGCATCCAAGAGAGGAAGACCAAGAATACGCATGGTAAGTAGATCTGTATGATGTAAAAACCCAGGCGACGTTGAAAGGTAATGTGCACTTCAAGGCTGTTAAACTTGCCTGRAAACAGTAAAGAATGATTCATGTCAATATTATCTAAATAGTGGCCATGTACTGCTCTTGCCACAGCTATACCACTCTAAATGATTTAATTACAGACCCATCTCTGGTATCTGATTTCAGTCATTTACGTGTGTTATGTAAATTACGTTGGTGGAGCAATTTAAATTACATGAATTAGTTATGAATGAGATGCTTTGATGCTCGAAAGGCGAGTTAATAATTACACTAAAAATATATTTAACATATATATATTTCGTGGAAATCAAATTTATTCAGACCTGACTTGTAGACATTGTTAACCTCTTTAGTTTTCAACGATACGATGTCAAAGTGAGGCAGATTCATGTCCTTAGAGATGGCCACAGGTTGTTCACTTCGCTCCCATTTGAAAATTATTTCGGCTGCAGTATGGAAAACTAACAAAAGGACAATTTTCAAATAATATTGTAAGTCACATATAATACTATCATATTTATTATTTGAAGTTATCTATCATTTATCGCAGATACTTACAGCTCTCAAACATCAATACGCAGATTTGTGTGTCCATTGGGAATTTTCTCAGGTCCATTTGACATTCAGCTGTAACAGTTATCCTAGTGCATTAGGAAGAAATTGAATTTCAAAGGACATTAGTTTGGAAAATAGTGAAGTAGCTTCGGTACTATCATGACAAACAGAACATGAATAGATAGCAATATAGATCTAGAGGGAAAATACTGATACAAAATGGAGTCAGTAAAAACATTTTAGGCAGCATTTAGATTTTTTGGATAAATATTTTTTGCTAAGTTTTAATAATGCTGAATGTAAGCAAGAAGGAAAAGTGTTCAAGTAGTCATTGCCATAATATAGGAAGTATTACTTTCTGAATTAGCAATGTTAAGGGTTTGAATCCAATGAGATTAGGAAAAAAGCTAAAATGTGGTCGTATCGTTTCCCCCAAGGCTATTGACTTTTAGTGGAACGTGTAAAAAGCTTGGGCTCCCAAGACAATGCGTCAACCCCGTTTTAGGAGGGTTGGCACCTGGATGGTCGATCTGAAACTCAACTGTTCTTAAATGTTTTTGTTCGTAATTCTAAATGTGTAGAACCAATTCCTCGTTGCCAAGTGCTTTGCCTAGTCTCCGAGCGGCACATTACCACCCAGATTGTGGGTGTGACTGTTTTATAGTTGCTATGGTCACTTACTTTTGACTCATATAGATTGACCCGTCAGGAAACACACGAACGCCAAGGTTGTTCTTAGTGACGTCATGGATAAATGCTGAGCGGGCGTTCATGAAGAAAGTATCAGGATACCATATTTGGTCAGCGCTCTCCAGCTGCATGTAAGGATGGCCTTTACCGTGGGTAAGACTAATGTCGTATGACAAACGAGGATCTGTCCACTTCTGGCGAAACGCAAACCGTATGGTGTAATCCTGTCAACCATCAAGTAATGAGTAATATACTAGGGGACGTAGTAGCGAAAATGGGTATAGATGCTACTTACCATCTCTTCTTCTCGCACGTCATAGATAGAATTAATTCGCATATTGACTGTGATATTAACAGGTTTACCTGGAAAGCAAATGGATATATCGCGTTTAATCCGAGAAAACTGGATTTTGGTAGCAATACATCTGAAGTAGAAATTACATTGCATAACTGTCCTCTTACTTGTTTTCCATCCTTGACATATCTTATATCGGGATGAAACTAACACTAGAGAAAAACGTTTGCGCATGCGTGCACTTTGYGCATGCGCGCACGTTTTCTAAGAATTTTGAAGAGTTTGAGTGAGAAAATAAATGTTTGTTATCTCCAAGTATACAAAAAATTTCGAGAGTATACTTTTGTCAGACCACGATACTGTATTAACAAACACAATTTGAAAGAATTAGCCTTAAATTTTTTAGCTTGGACACTAAGTTTTCRCATTTGTGAAGTCCAATTTATCAGGCATGTTGAAAGTCAAATTTACTTATGTTTGACTAATTTGCATACGGATTCAGAGCATGCGCAGABGTTTTTCACTCGTGTCGGTGAAACTAATATTAATATTCACAGCGGGCTTTTCAAAGAGCTATCACTGTTACACAGACCTTTTCTAAGAGAACGAACATGGTGCATCCTGGTCTAGCTTTCAAATATGGTGTTTTTTTACCGAATGTAGACTATGATGCATCCTGTTTACGAACTCAGAGAAGACATATGGGTTTTCCTTCACATCACAAAATATAATGGGAGCTTATTGGGATCATTGGCCTTCGAGATTATATTATATTTCATCCAGATCTAGAAGTGGTTGTTCAYTTATCCTCCGTGATAGATAACCTCCAAGTTTTTCCTGCATTTGGCGTTCGTTCTTTATTAAAGTAAAGAAAACACTTTCATATGCTATTAAAGCTTTATCCCATGACAAGCTTTTCCCATCTACCATTCTCCCCATTCCTTCATTTCCCCTCCCTGCACTCCGCTTTTCATGCTGAAATATGTTTTTTTTTTTTTCACTAGCTGAATCAATATCTGATATAGATATGTGAATCTTACCATCTTGCGAGTAAGGTCTTACGTCTTTGTCATAGTTTTTGAATATGATTGAAAGGGCCTTCTTCTGGGATGTGATGTTTTTGACCTGAGCGTTTTGTGAACGCCTGCACCTAGAGAAAGACATGATACTATAATCTCAGTCGAGTTGAAAGATTTATGCTTGGCTGCTATGATCTGCCGTGAGTCTGCAGCCGAATGGAAAGGCAATTTAATATGTATTTTATTTTGTATAGACTTCATTATATATATTACCACGATAGSCTATTTGCGTGGAAGACGAAAGGTTAGTATATGTATTGCACTACTGCAAACGGCCTATTGCAACATCCAAATACATTATATTCATCCATCACTTAGAAAAGGTTTCTATAATCTACATTCTCGTGAAAACCCTGTTAGCTGTCGAGCTGTAACTGGAATAAGTAATCTAAATAATGATCAATCAAGATAARCGCATGTAATGTTGATTCTCTTAGCACTGCTTGCAGAAAATTCTAAATGCATTCTTTTGGAGGCAAAACGAATAAGTGAACGTTCATAGTCGTTTTACCAGATCGTGAATCTAAAAATAAATTCCTTCCCCAAACTGTGTGGGAACTTGATTATAAATTTATCAGGTAAAATTTTAAAACAAACTATATTTGCTATTTCATAAAACTTCGCCTTTTCTAAGGCTTATGAAACACGTACGTATTAATGATCCAAGGCGCACTAAAGAAAGAACACAAACGAAGAAAAGAATGTGCTTGTTGCTTCAGAATATTTTTGCTGTTAATAAGAGTTGGAATGAGAAGAAACAAAATATTTTGATTCCTTGTTCATAAATTTTGAAAAACCAAGTTAACGAAAATATATTGCTAATTAAATAAAAAATCAAAACACATCAAATCTTTCCGCGGACTTAAAGGCAAAAGCCAGTAACGTGAAAGGAGAAGATTTTTTTTAAATGTTTAGACAAGGGAATCGCGAGAAGACCAAATGTGCATACGAAAATTAAAACCTACAAAATTGCTTTTGGTAAATATTTGTATTACATAACTGCACGAACTCTCGTTTGTGTAGACTTCTTTTTTATCGGTGTGAGATCAAGGAATCTCAAACCAAACAGCGTCTGATAATTAAGACAAGGAAAACAATCCGACCGCAAACTGTGATTGTGATTATTCTCTACAACGACTCGACGGCCATCTTGTGTATGCCAGCATTTAGTAGGTCATTTCCATGGCTCAGGGATCGGCATACTTTTAATTTCATGCAAACTGACACGATGTTTAGATTAGAATTTAATTTTCATGTTAAAATTTAAAAGGGCTTAAGTCAATTTATATGAGAAAAATGTACTTTCATTTGCGAAGAAAGGCGATTGAATTAATGGAGGAAAGAATAAAATCTCTGACCCTGAGGAACCGTTTTATCATAGTTTTTCCGGTTGACAATCTTTTTCAAAGAGATCTTTTTTACACAGTCGAATATAAGTGACCGGTGAATAACAATATATTCACCACATTGACTGGAACCATGAAATAAAAGTACAGTAAGAGTACAAGATGTAGGAAATAGGCACACTAAGAAACCAAAATAACGATAATAACTTAACGTGAGAATAACGTGTAGCTTACCCTAACGAAGAGACTGTAGAATAAACCATCATCCAAACCAAGAATCCAAGCACAAATTGGTTCAACTTCGTGTATTTCATTGTTCTGCTGCTTGGCATTTCGTATGAATCGATAATAAAAAAGAATGATCTKGAAACTTTTTTGAAGGAATGAGTGTAGCAAGAAAAGGTGAGGTATCACAAAGGGTTTCGTTTGAAGATGCGTTTTGTCATCAAGTCCAACGCTTCATACATGATATATTGTATTTACCCAAAAGAACGACCCCTTTGTGAATACGAAGTAAAGTAATCCTGAATCACGTGACATCAGTTATTGGTCGAGATATATCATGAATGATTTACAGTTTGGCTAAACAAACTGCTATAAAAATATCAAACATCTAAGCATGACAACACGTCATGCAGGGATCACCACAGAGAAGACTTCAACTTCAGGTAAAACTCCCTTCTGTGCTGCTAATGGTCATATAGAATAGAATAGAGGATACTAAACAGAACACGATGGCCTATACTACATGATGAAGTTAATGAAAATATATACCATATATTTATTGTATGTTGTAATACTTCCCGTCAAGCCAAGAGCTATAGTATACTGAACCCAACGCAGAGTTTTCACCAACTAGTAAACTTAGAGTTTTGGGAGGTAAATAATTTTTGCAATTATGAAGTTACTTTCTGTACATAGAATCAGTGTTCATGTTCATTTTAGATGCAGTGCTTGCTCTATATTYTTTTGAGGATTTACGCACCCCTCTCCCCTTCAATAATCTATAATACACCGCTTGAAAGGTAAGATATTGAAGATAATCCCCAAATACAACCACATATTGTGAGTGTCTATTTTGACATCTATTTTGCGTTTATAAAATATTTGAGATTTAACGCGCGTGCTGATTGGCTGGCTACCGTTTTTAT